GAAGAGCGTATTCACTGTAATATCATACCATATAGTTGATTATTGCGGACGTTTCATAGAATGTACTCCCATTAATGAGGCTAATTGGGGATCAGCACAGAGACTGTATTGAAGCGATTGAGTTAATTAATGATAAAGTGTATCGAAGCTGATATAATGTGATAATGAATAGTGTTAAACTTTCATTGGATGTTTGGGATGAAAGTTTAATGAAAATTCCCTTTTCCATTCGTGGAAGCCGAAAATTCCGAGAAATATGCAGAAAATAAGTGACTTCTTCGGTAAATTCTTCTCTAGATTGCAACATAAAATGTTTTCCAGACCAATTCGTTTACGGATGAGTCAACTGGTGGCGCGTCTGATATTTATCGACGAGCCAGTGAATTGGAGCTGTATGCGGACGAAAGGTTACGGCAAATGATCGAAACATCTGAAAAGAAGAAAAAAAAGAGACTGACGTTGAATTGCTGTCAGAACACTTTGGTTGGTGCTGACAGTTGAACTTGATTCATTGATTAACCCTACTATTGATGACGTTATTGCATCTCTTCATAGCCACGTCCATCTTAAACTTTAAAAATGAATTTGAACTGAAGTTGAATTGCTTGCGTGATCAGCTTCTCAAAGGGACACAAACTCTAGAGTGAACATTCGCAGAAATGCAAATGAAAATATCAGCTTGGTGTCAAAACATCCGAAACTATCGAGACTCATGGAAATGGAGGAGAATTATGGGAGGAATGGGTGCTCTTACCCATAGCTGATTTTTAAAATTTATTTCAGATGTCTTCTGGAAGCAGCTCAGCATTCGTGCACAACTCATCAGCGCCGCCAGCTCTAACCGCTGGAAGTATGGTACCACATGGTGCTGATGCGTTAACACTACCAATTGCACGACCAACATTAAATGGAATTAACAATATTAATAACAGTACAAATGCAAACAATAAAATTATCAATAGTAATAATCACAACATTAATGGTAACAATCGTAATCACGGTTCAATGTCGTCATCTCCTATATCAACATTCAAGGTTTCATCT